ACATTTCAGTTGGGCAGAAGTGAACAATGGAACAAGTGACGCTGCTGAAGACGTGTCACCTGAAAAAAGCCACTGTCGAAGAAGGAACTGTACTCGGTTTTGAGAAGGGAAACAGCGAAGCCGTTGATGAAGTTACTACCACTGATGTGACTGTTACCGATGATAGGATGATGATGAAGCAGATGAACCCTACATGATGCAGGAGCCAACGAGGCGGAGACCAGTACGGAAGACGATACGTCCCGTAAAATTACGAGACTTTGTTGAATTTTGATTTTGTGTTTGTCAATTCTGTACACTTAATTAAGCACAGAGCACAGATAACCCATTGTGTAGCTTTGTGCTTAACTACAAACAAACAAGCCATAATTACTATCTTTAGTAGACATGAACAAACAAACACACCTAGCAACAACTTTGGAAGCAATATTAGATTAACAAAAATGAGCTGAAGCCATGATTTCATATTTCTGTACAATTTCAAGCAAGAATATATTTACTATGAAGATCTGAAGCAACGATTCTATTCTTATAGTCTTCTAATGGGTCAGCAATAAGTTTAAGGGTTTACAATACCAAAATCCAGTGTTCGAGTCCCAGTGGTGGACAGAGCACAGGTAGCCTGTGCTTAAAAGAAACTATTCTAGTAATCGATCTGCAAGTCGCAACATTGTTTTATACAACACACTTTCTTATTGTGTTTTGGTTTAAAAGCAACAAAATTATGCACTTTTTAACACACACTGTAAAACATTGTTACGACAGCGGAAGTTGCGTGACGTTGGGAGCATTCGCGCTGGAGTTTCTAGAATTATCGGGGAACCTCGCGAATGTCCGAGTGTTTGCTAGACGTCCTTTTTTTATTATATAAGCCTGGCGAGAAAAACCAGCGCAATTGCAGAGATAGATAGAGTGAAGAAATAGATAATTGAGTGAAGCGAACAGTAGACACCGTAAGTAAAGTGTGTGAATCACTGTGATTTATAGCGTGTTTTATAAAGTTTGTTTAGTTTAAAGTGACTGTGGAAATTCTATGTACTAAAAAGCTGTATCAAGAAAGAATAAACTAGTTTTAATTAAGAAAGGACTTGTATCGCTGAAGTTCCTCGGAAATAATTTATACCGGAAATTAACAAATAAGCAGATACGTAACACTATTATAACAATACTCAGTTTCTGTCTGTCCTGCAAATGCGCGCGAACTTCATTTCAACGGACTTAAACAAAATTCGGATGTAAATATACTTTAGTAAACGTTTCGTACAACATAATAAAAACTTATCAAAGCTATATAATTGATTTGTCAAACCTGGAACATAAGGTAAACTTAAAGTTTCTACTTAATGTAGTATTTTAAACTGTGTTTACACCTTTGTTAAATTTCTTATAAAGTATTTAAAAAGCATCAGAATTTTTATTCTATCATCAAACCAATAAATAAAACAAAATATATGATAAGGAATACTAAAAATAAAATGGAATTAATATATAAAACGGGTATTTACAAGATCGAATGTGAATGTGGTAGTATTCATATTG